TGGGCGCTAAGCAGAGGCCCCTGCACCCTCCCCTCCTGGCCAAGGCGGAGAACCACAGCAGGACCCGGGGCATCCCCGGGGCGGGACCCCATCCCCGGGGCGGGACCCCATCCCTGGGGGAGGACCCCGTCCCTGGGGGAGCTGTAGAGATGGGTGCCTCCACCAGGCACAAAGGACCAGGGTGGGGGTGCCTGTTGGGCCCCATTTAACTGGCTGCATGGTCTGTGCAGAAGTGACGGTCCCAGGGTCCCGGAGATTTTCGTGACTGATGACCGGGCGTCTGTGCCTGCAGCTGCTCGTCCAGATGTGGGGTCCTTGCGGGAGCAAATCGACCCAGCCCTTGACCCTTGATGTGCAGCCGTTGACCCGGCTCACGCGTTCTCTCCAGCCCGTCGGCCAGGAAGCAGTTTGCTTTTACCTGAGAGGCCAGAGGCACCTGCACAGGCCGCGTCTCCATCCTGCGCTTTGAGCTGGACCGCCCTGACGCCCCGGGACGCGCCGCGTGGTCGCCGCCATCCCGCTGACTGACTGGTGGGGGTGGGGGAGCCGGATGCCTGGATAAGACGCTCGGACGCGGAGGTGGGGGTGAGCCCCGCAGCACGTGGGACCAGCGCTCATCTGGCCCGGGTGTCACCTGCTCCGCAGCCACCCTGCCGACTGCGGCCACCATGCTTCGTGTGTGCCTGCCCCGGAAAGGCGCAGTGACCGCTTGCTGCCCAGTGTGTGGTTTCCTGGCAGGGGCTCTGGTCCCTTTAGGGGGGAGGGTGTCAGGACACTTTGGCTACAGTGTGGAGACCCTTCCCCCGGGGACTGGCCTCTCCTTAGTCGGTGGTTACACCTGGACAATGTCTCAGGCCCAGACGCTGCTCAAGACACCCCGGCCATTACCGGGGGGGCCGCCGGGCCTCCAGACCACCCACCCCGGATTCATCTTGACTGCACGGGCTGATCCACCCCGCTGTCCCCTGGGGCCCCCGTGTTCTGACGGCCTCTCCAGAGCTCTCTGTCAGCGCCTTCCGCCCCCAAACTTGCCCATCACTGTGAGTCGCTCCTGCCTCATCTACGGCTAATGAGGTTGCCACCTGGTCTGTTATTTTGGGGTCCAGGACCCCACTTCTGCCAAGGTCTCTCCCACCGACAGCCTGGAGCTCTGGTGGGAGTCCGAGACGGGGCGAGCACGCGGGGTACTACCAGGGAGGCTCTGGCACGTGACGCCCGTGGGGGCGATGCACGTAGGGGTGGTTGAGGCGGGAGCGGGGCGCTAACAGGGTCTCTGCAAAGGCTCTGCCAGGAGCGCTGAGGCTGGGGGGCCCCGCAGCCCCCTCCCCACCCAGGCAAGGGCCCTTTGTATCCCTCAGGAACTCATGTCTGGGTGTGGCTCCTCGGGCGGGGTGGGACCTTGGGGACGCGGCTCTCTGGGGCCAAGGTCAGGTGCCCAGGGTGGAAGCTAGTCTGGGCGGCACACACGGCAGCCCCCCTGCCCACTGGGCTGTGGCAGGGTGCCGTTCCCCTGGGTTCCACCCCCCCCACATGACCTCGTGCATGCCAGCACGTGGCTGCCTCAGTGGGGTGTTTCCATAAACGGGGGTCTTCCAACAAACCCCAAACCCTAAACGGCATTTAACTACAGGAGCATCTCCTCACGATCGTCACTCCTTTGGAGGCAAACATTGAGCACCTGTTGTGTACCAGCCACACTGGGGCTGGGGAGGGGCAGGGGTATGGCTGGGGCGGGGTCCTGATGGCCTGGGAGCGGCTGTGGGCTCTGAGGGGTCACCCCTAGGCAGCAGGGAAGCTGGGGGGGGGGGACAGCCCTCCTGGACCAGGGCCCCTGGAGGATGGGGCAGGGACGCTGAGACCCAGTAACCAGCTGTCAGCCACCTGTGGCTGCCCCCACCCAGGGCGTAGATCCAGACGAGGACCCGCGGGGTGGACTGCCGTGTGCAGCTGGGTGCATATCCTGTGTCCAGGGCTCCAGGCCATGGCTCTGAGTACTGCTTCCTCAGTGCTCATGCTAGTTTTGGCCTCTGCTGCCTCCTCCTCCTCCAGGAAGCCCTCTGTGATTGCATTTTCCAGGAGCCCCTCCTGCCACTCCCCCTTAATCTCTCTTCCCAGGGAGTCACTCCCTCAGGTGGGTTTTTGTTTTGTTTCTAATCACTTTGCTGATCTGGTTGTCTCTCCCCTCACTGGACTCCTGGCTCTGCGAGCACAGAGCAGTTCCAGCACTCAGAGCTGCCCCGGGGCATGAGGGGCGCACAGTCACTGTTGACCCTGGGCTCCGTACACATGTCTCCCTTTGTCAGGAAGCCCTCTGCCTCTGCCACCTGACCAGCTCTGGCCTGCCTCCTCCAGGAAGCCCTCCCAATGCCTCCTGGCCCTGGGAGCCCTGCCCACCCTCTTGGCTCATTCTGAGTCTCCACTCTGGCTGCGGAGTCTGGGGACCGGCCCGGCTTTTGCCTCTGGGTCGGGGTCAGGCATGGGCGCTCCCTCCCGCAGGGACAGCACCCGGGGCTGCCTGGACCAGCTGCAGCCCTCTCAGGGGCGGCCAGCCAGGGAAGGATGGGCCTTCTGTGGCCCCTCACGGGCCCCCAGGGCCCAGCGCGGGCCCGGCCCAGGACACGTGTTCGGCAGAAGTTTCCAGAAAGGAAGAAGAGCGAGAGGGAGGGAGGGGTTCCTCCCAAACCAGCAGCCTCCCTGATGGTGGTGGTTTGTCTACGAGACACAAGAAATCTCTGGAAGATCAACATGGTCACCGGCCCTCCACCTCCCCGTGTCCGGGTGTGGGGGGGCCCAGAGACCCTGACGGGGGCACCTGCCGCCGGGCTCTGGGGGGATTCGGGCCAAGCGGCGTGACTAGCGCTCAGCCTGTGCAGCCTGTGGAGCCCCGAGGTCCCACCTCTTCCCCACAAGGCTCAGTGACCATCAGTTGCCGAAAGTTAAGGGATCTGCACAGACCAGATGTTTGCGTCCCCCAAACCCCTAACCCTAACCCCCCCCACGGGATGGCGCCAGCAGGGGGGCCTTTGGGAGGGGATGAGGTCACATGAGGTCATGTGGGTGGGGCCCCGAGACGGCACCGGTGTCCTCACAGAAGAGGGGTGTCTCTGTCCTCCATGTGAGGACACGGCGAGAAGGCGGCCGTCTGCAGCCCATAACCTTGACCTCAGACTTCCAGCCTCCAGACCCGTGAGAGTGAAATGTCCGCCGTGTAAGGCCCCAGCCCGCTGGCTTGGGCGAGGGCGGCCCGAGCAAATGACGTAGGCTTTGTGGCGGTTCATTTTATGTGCTCACCTGGCGAGGCGGGGTGCACACCTGCTCAGTCCAACACCAGGCTGGAGGCCACGCTGAAGGTATTTTTAGGTGACATGGACAATTCAAATCAGTGGACGTTGAGGGAAGCAGTTTTCCCCGACATAAGCTGCGTGGGCCGCGTCCAACCGGTTGAAGACCTTAAAGACAGACTTCCTCTGTGGAAAAGGGAATCCTGCTCCCCCCCCCACTCCCCCCCACCCCCACCCCCCCACTCTCCCTTTCCTTCCCCTACCCCCAGCCCCACCCCCACCCTCACCCCCGCCCCCGCCTCCTGCACCTGCTGGGGGCTCTGTACCTCCAGACGACCTTGAGCACTGCAGGGTCTGCCATGGTGACCTGGGGGCGCTGCCCCTCTAGCCTGGTCATTCCAGTGCGTGTTGAGAGCACCAGGCAGTCGTCACCTTCCGGTCACACGGTCACGGTGCTTTCTGGAAGTATCATCCGCCTGCAGGCCCTGCCCCCACAGCAGGGGTGCCACTTCCGTGAACCGAATCCTAAACACCAGAATAGTCCATGAGAGCGGACGCTCTCTCTTCCTGCTCTCTCTCCGGTCCCGTCCGGGGCCGCTGAAAAGGTCAGCGTCTTTCCCGCTTACCTGCGAGTAGTCAGTCATTCCCTCGTGCTGATTAAAGGCCTGTTTGGGACGCAAACACACACGGAAAGCCCCAGGGGTTTGTGGGTAATGGTTAAAGACAGGGCAGGACCAAATGGGGAGAGAGCCGGGTAACCGGCCAAGTTGAGCACATGCTCAGAGAAAATAAAAACGCAGACTTGAGGGGCGCCTGGGGGGCTCAGTCGGTTAGACGTCTGACTTGGGCTCAGGTCATGATCTCACGGATCGTGGGTTCGGGCCCCGCGTCGGGCTCTGTGCTGACAGCCAGCTCGGAGCCTGGAGCCTGTTTCGGTCCGTGACTCCCTGTCTCTCTGACCCTCCCCCGCTCATGCTCTGTCTCTGTTTCAAAACTAAATAAAAACTATAAAGAAATTTTTATTAAAAACCCGCAGACTTGATTTTGGGTCTCCGTAGCACCTCCGGTCAGGTCTGAGCATGGCATACAGGGACGGGCGCCAGGTGGATGGGGGTCTTCGGGCTCAGGGGCGCTTTCTCTCTGTCCTGTTGTGCTGACCAGGCTCCAGTCCCCGCGCTGGCCGCCCTCTCAGCCCCGGGAGCCCTGTCCTGGCCACGTGGGAGGCCCGTGGGCTTCTGGAAGCTTCTGCGTGTTCCGTGGTGTCTCCCTGCCCATCCCTGCCCAGGAGGCCTGGTGGGGGGCGTGGGGACCGAGGGGCCCAGGAGCCCTGGCCGAGGGCCCGTCCCCCACGCGGGCCAGGCCTGCTCCCCCAGCTGCCCAGTTGCGTCTCCCGCGGATCTGGTTTGGCTTCAGCAGCGCCTTGGCGGCAGGAACCCCATTCACACTCCATCATCGACAGATGACAGCGGGAACGGTGGGAGTTCATTACAGGGACCATGAATTGTTGGAGGTAATTTAGATTACAATTTAAAGTTTAATTTAAAAATCTATCAACAAATGTGAAAGTACTGGAGGAGCGTTTTAAAATGCGCTTTAATCTCGCCGGCACAAATAGCTTCTCGGGGCTCTAAACATCATCACCTGGAAAAACAGTAAAACTTTACTGCATCTTTAATTAAATTACAAACACAAAGGATAATTAACTTTTTTATTTTTATTTTATTCGTGCCATTGTTTCTCCTCCGAGTCAATATCTTCCGGCTGCAGCAGCAGCGGGCTGTTATGAGGAAGTTTACAGCCTCGGGCCCTGACGTGATGCCGGCTGCCTGCAGGGATGGACGTCCCGGCGGGTGGGGCCCTGCGGGCGGGGGGGTGGTCCTTCGGGTGGGGGGGCCTGCGAGTGGGGGGGGCCCTGCGGGGGGTGGTCCTGCGGGTGGGGCCCTGTGGGCGGGGGCCCTGAGGGCAAGGGGTGGTCCTTCGGGTGGCGGGGGCCCTGCGGGGGGGGGTCCCTGCGGGGGGGGCCCTGCGGGCGGGCCCCGCCCCGTGCTCACACCCGAGGAGTGTGCGGCGTGTTTCCCCCAAGCTGGGCCGTGACCCGGCGCTCTGGGTATTAACTCATTCCATCCCCCCAGATGGGGAAACTGAGGCACAGGGAACTCGGGGACCTGCCTGATGTCCCCCAGCTGGTCAGTGCAAGCAGCCATCCCGATGTGCGAGTAGCCACGGCAGGGCCCCTCCCATCACCCTGGCTTTGCGCACGGAGCTGGGGGCCCGAGGCGGGGGCAGGCGGCGCTGTCCCCGGCGCCCTGGACGCGGCGGCCCTGCGGCGCTGGGGTGGGGAGGGGCCTCCGGGAGGGGGGCGGGCCGCGGCGCCCTGCAAGTTCCAGGGCGGCCACCAGGGGGCTCCCTGTAGACGCGGGCGGTCGGCCCGGGGCGCTCTTGGGGGCGTGGGGTCTGGGGTCCCCACCACGCAACCTCGTGCGGGCAGACTTTCCCGGGCAGGGGCGTTCGCAGGGGGAGGATCCGGAGGGAGAGGCGGGGCGAGGGCGGTGGGGGCGGCGGGACCCGGTCCGGGTGGGAGGGGCAGGGAGTGTTCACGGGGACCGGGGACCTTGCCCCTGCTTGTGCGCTGGTCGTGGGGGGCGGGAGAGCCCCCCATCCCTACGCTCCCTGAGCTCTTCTCCGTGTCCCCCTCCCCACTCCCGCTTCCTTCCCTCTTGTTGGGCGGAGGAAGGGGCGTGGCTTCGGCACCTTCCTTACCTGTCTGTGCCCTGTTTTTGGCCTCATCTCCGGGGTTTGGTGGGTCGGGTCCCGACCTTCCAGGGCCGCGCGCGGGCGGCAGGGCGCTCTCCCCGGGGCGCAGCGCAGGCAGGCGAAGCCCGGCCCCCGGGACCGCCCCTCCTCCGGGCTCTCCCACAGCCCGGGCCCCAACTACCCGGTGTCCACCTGAGCTGTCACCGGACCGCGGCGCCGGGGTGGGGGCAGCGCCTAGAACCCCAGGAGGGTTCCTCCGGGGCTTCTGAGCTGTGCCCTGCCACACACACACCGATGTCTACACACACCTTTACGCACCTTCACACACGCCGCCTAAGCCCCTCGCAAGTGTGCGCATTCACGCACACAACTGTACCGTCCCGTCCGCACTGCGGCGCACGTTTGCAGCACTCTCATGCTACAACGCACCCCTGCACGGAGACACACCCCACCGCCTGCTCCCGCCGCACCCCGCCTCCTGACCCTCCAGCCCCACCGTGTTGCGCCCTCACGCACCCGCTTTGCTTGGCGAGCGGGGCTCGGGCTCTGCCTGCAGCTCGGGGCGGGGCTGGGCAAGGGCTGCGGTGGCGGTCCTGCCGCTCTGCTTCCGGGCAGCGTCCCCTCGGCCCTCCCCTGCCCGCTGGCGTGGCGCAGCCCCTGGCGCACAGAGGCGGGGTGCGGGGCGGCGGGCCACTGGGGTATTCAGTTTTAGTGTGGTGGCTGCTTAATTATTGGTTAATCTAGCAATTTAGCATGCTTCATTTAATTCTAATTAGGAGAATTAATAGTCAGGGAATAGCGATTTCAATAGAGTGGCACAAAACAAAACCCAGCCTGGACACGGCCAGCCCGGGGCTGCGTCCTGCCTGTGCAGCGCGCGGGGGCTGGCCCGGGGGAGTTGGGCCCAGAGGGGATGACCTGCAGAGACGCCCGAAGGTCATGGCTGCAGGGAGGGGGGCTCGAGGGGGGCAGGAATTTCTCTGTTGCCTCCTGGCCCAGGACCTGGGAGGGTAGAGGGGTCCATGGACAACCCGGCTGCACCCCGCAGGCAGCACCCCAGGCCGCCCCCCCCCCCCCACCAGGTCTCAGTGCCTCCCTGGGCTGGTGGCGCCTGCGTGTTTGTCTGTTCATCAAGCCGGCTCCCTGACAAGGCCCGACATTGGACAAGACTGTTCCTCTAATTAAGGTGCTAATTGAATTAAATGGCTGTGGTAATGAGCAGATGAGCAGCATAAAAAGTAAAGAGTCAGATAGGCCAATTAACAAGAGCGCAGAGCATAATTATAACATTGGAAATACATGCAGCTGGGCTCCAACATTGTTAATTGTTACCCGGGGATTTATGGTAATTGGCCCCACAACAGGCAGCAGCCAAACCTGCCCGGGCCGGTAATTAAAAAAATGATATTCTACACAAATGCTGGATGGGCTAATTAGGACTTGATTTACATAAAGGACTGGAGGAGGCCCTGCCCCACCTCCCCGCTCGGAGCCACACCGTGGCACAGAGCCCAGGTGAACCCCCAAGTGTCCAGGGCCCCCTCAGCCACTGGGGGCCCTGAGTGCTGCCCAGAGAGGCCACACTCCGAGCTGCACTTCCGAGGCCACCTCCCCCAGCCTGCCCACCGGACCAGCCTGCTGGACAGCTCCCTCTGCTCTGTGCCAGCGCCCCCTCCTGCCCTGACACAGGCCGGCCACCACCCAGGTGGGGAGGACCTCTATCTAGGGCCAGTGGCTTCGCGGCCCTCCGTCAGCCCCAGCCCTGTGTATGGTTCTCCAGGGGGTTCATGGCCACCCTCGAGGGCCAGGCCTGCCCTCCCCTCCTCTCTCGCCGTGCACGCATGGCTGTCCTTGCTGAGTGTCCCCAGTGAGTATGCCTGGGCTTGGGGACATGCCAAGGTCATGGGGCACACAGCCAGTTAGACTAGTCTGCCCTGCGCCTCCCACCCCCCAGCTGGGCTGTGCCCAGCCCTCCATGCTGCCTCCTCCGAGGCTGGTCCCAGCCCCCGCCCTGGGGTAGGATGGAGGTGACCTACACCCTCAGCCAGGGAGGACCAGGGGGGACAGGCAGACAGACAAGGGCTAGAGGGAGGGGGCCGGAGACAGGTGCGGAGGGGAGAATGGGAAGCAGGCGTGAGCCCCCCAAGCCCCGCCCCTGGAAGGCAGGGGGGAAGCGGTACTGCTCAGGCTCCTCCACCATCCAGTCCTGCCCCACCTGCCCTGAGAAGGCCACCCTGCACCCCACGTCAGAGATGGGAGGCGGTCTTCAGAGATGCTGCCCAGGGCCCGTCACCACGGACCCAAGGTCCCCTCCTCTGTGACGCTGCCCCGCGGGACCCACACCGTCCTGGGTGTCTTCCCGAGTGTGGACCCCCGCCCTGGGCACGGGCAGGTCCCAGCCGCTACTGCGCCCCCCCACCCCCCCGCCCGCCACCAGCCGCTCTGTCCACGACTCCTCAGGCAGATTTACCGTGACGTTCACACTCTGAACAGAAAAGCCTGCCTCATTTACAAATGTGATTTCAATTGAGGGTAGTTTTCCAATCTCCTTTCATTTGAGCCCCTTCTCGCGGCACTGATGGCATGATTAGACAGCGCGCACCGCAGCAGACTGGTCAAGCGCGGCCCCGTAAATTGGGAAGGATGTTTTATCAGGCCCCGCCGCCGCCGCCGCAGGCAGCCGTGGGGTGCTCCGGGCTGTCCCCTCAAATCACGGTTATGGAATAATTTAGCCCTCGATTCTCCGCGATTACTGCCGCCACCGATCATGCTGTCACATTCCAAGTGAGCACTTCATCCTGCGTTTATTCATGCCAGATCTGCTTTGCTTTCGTAATGAGCACATATTACCCCAGCACAAAGACGGCCAAGACGTCCGCGGTGATAGATAGACGCGAGATTAAATGAGATCTTTATGACTTCTGCAGCCATCAGTTCTGACTGTGTGATAAGCCGGCCGACTTGGGTCCTGATTTGCTCTTTATTGGCGCTGATATTAGCATGCGCTCACCGGTGCGCGGGCTGATCAAACCCATTTAAGGTGGATCGGGGGATGCGTGCGGGAGAGGCGTGTCAGGCGAGGCTGCGGGTGGCAGACCCCAACCTGCGGGGGACCCTTCCAGCTGCCCCGGGGCTGTCTGGGGGCCAGGCCACTCCGCCTGGGCTTGTTGGGGGGGCCAGCTGCCCGCCCACCCACTCCCTGCCCACCCAGGGGCCCCCAGCTTCCCACTAACACACCTGGAAGATGTTCATTTAGGACCTGAGGACGCCAGGCCACTTCCTGGGAGGGGACAGGAAATGGGCCGCATGGGCCATCCTCCCGCTCCCAAGGGGACAGGTGCGCCCCAGCATCAACCCCAGCCTCCAGCACCACCACCCCAGCCTGCTGTCACAGCTGCCCTGGGTCCCCCAGCACCGTCCTCACCCTCAGTGCCCTCGGGACACCCACCTCTCCTCAGCTGTGGCCTTGGCTGAGGCCCCCCTGCCCCGGGGTCCCGACCCGGACACAGTCCGGTTCTACACGGCGGCCGCATCCTGTATCTGTCCGGTCCCTGCAGTCCTGGGGCTCCAGCTCCTCCCTGAGGGACAGGGTGCCCTGTCCCTCCTGTGGGCGTGTGGGACAGGCCACCGCCACCTGCCGTGGATGAGCGGAGTCGGCCTGCGAAGCTGCCTTTCCAGAGCCTCCCTTGCGCCCTTGCTGGGGATCCAGCCAGCAATGTGTCCATGTTTGTCTGTATCGCACATATTTTCACTTCGTGGATCAAGTCTGTTGAGGCTCCAGGAGGTGATGAATGTCATTGTAGCCAAAGGCCCATGTAGTCTGAGCCTAAGGCAGCTCCCCTCCCCCGCCACCTGCCCTTGACTTCTAGGAGCTCAGCTCCGGCCTGGTGTGCTTTGGGGTAGAGCCGCCCAGCTGCTCTGAGCCTCTGTCACATGCGGCCACCCCCTGCCCCCCTGCCTGTTTGCCCCCCCCCCCGCCCCGGGGCTGCTGCCGCACCTCCCACACTGGCTGTGAGAGCTCGGGGTGGCGTGTGCAAAGGCCAGCTCTCACGTGCGCTGGGTAACAGTGTGCCCTTGGTGGTGCTGAGCCTGGTGCTGGGGCTTGCACTGCCCGGGCAGTCCCTGCCACTCCGCAAGGGCAGGCACCAACCATTGAGCAGACGGGCCGTTTTGGGGGGTGGTAGGGTGGCCAAGGACACGGGGCAGGAGCCGGGCCTGCTGGGCAGGGCAGGGGGGTGGAGAGGGAGCTCGTGGGGCATGACTCTCAGGCCTCAGAGTCCTGGGCATGAAGGGTATGGGTGGGGGCCCTGGTGGGCTTCTCTGAAATGTGCTAGAGCTCACAAGTGGGCCCGCCACAGGGCCCCCCACCCCTGCCCCATGGGGCACCTGGCCGGGCCACTACCCCTGGTAGGAGTGATCTCACCTGACTGTGAGGCCGAGACCAGGCAGGGCCAGGCTGGGCCCCGTGCGGGACCCCGGGCTGACCCTGAGGCTGTCAAGGCCGAGAAGGACCGGGAGAGACCGAGGGCTCAGGAGGACCCTGCGCGGGTCCAGCAGGGGTCCTGGCCAGAGGAACGGCACAGGGGCGCATGGAAAATGCGAGCAAGCCTGGGGTTTACTTGAGGGGAATGTGCTGTGACACACGTGCCTCCTGATGGAGGTGAACCTGGGCAGCTGTGTGGGAACTCTCCCCGCCTTAGCTTTGTGACTTCTGTCTGAATCTAAAATTGTCCCACAATTAAAGTCAGAAAAAAAATCCCTCTGGCTCCAGTGTGGAGTGCCTGCCGAGGGTGCAGGGGGGAAGCAGAGGGAGAGGAGGGGGAGGAGGAAGAGGGGAAGGGGGAGGAGAGAGGGAAGGGGACAGGAAAGGAGGAGAGGAGGGAGAAGGATGGGAGAGGCAGAGTGGGAGGGGAGAGATGTGTTAAAGGCAAGGCCCTCCAGTTTGTGGAAGGCTGCGTGGGTTACGTGTGTGCATGTTGTACGTGTGCGTGTGTGCTTATGTCTACGGTATATTCATGCATGAGTGTATGTGGGGGTGTGGTGTGCTCACGGGTGAGTGTGTACGCGTGTGTTCGCGTGGGAGTGTTACGTGTATGTGTGTCCATGTGCTCGTGTGTGCTCGTGTGTGTTCATACGTGAGTGAGTTTGTACGTGTGCTTGTGTGTCCCTGTGCGCCCATGACTCACACCCGTGCGGAGCCATCCCTGGGCCCACACATGTAGCCGCCTGCTGCCACAGGAACTGTCACACACCTGGGCTCAGGCCCCCAGGGGCAGGCGGGGTCCAACCACCTCGGCTGGTGCTGGGGACCCCATATGGGACTCTGAGGGGGTCTGATTGCCTCCTCTGGCGCTGGGGACCCCCACATTGAAATCTGAGTGTCTGATTGGCTCCTCTGGCGCTGGGGACCCCATATGGGACTCTGAGGGGGTCTGATTGGCTCCTCTGGCGCTGGGGACCCCATATGGGAGTCTGAGGGGGTCTGACTGCCTCCTCTGGCGCTGGGGACCCCCACATTGAAATCTGGGGGTCTGACCACCTCCTCTGGCGCTGGGGACCCCATATGGGAGTCTGAGGGGGTCTGACTGCCTCCTCTGGTGCTGGGGACCCCCACATTGAAATCTGGGGGTCTGACCACCTCCTCTGGCGCTGGGGACCCCCACATTGAAATCTCAACCTCTGGCAGCTTTAAAGCCTGGCAGCAGGCCCCTCTCATGCTCAGGCTGTCCCCATAGGAGTTGGTGGGTGGCCAGGGTCGGGGGCTTCGGGGTCCAGCTGCTCCTTCTCCCCACGCCTCCCCTTCTCTGGGCTCGGGGTTGCACCCACAGGGGTGTACTCAGTGCTTCCCCCATCATCGTGCATAAAAAAAAATAATAAAAACCTATAATACCTCTACTTGCTAATTTAAAAAGAGAGCGGGTGCTTATGAGTACCCCAAGAGCGACACAGGGGCCTGAAGGTAAGTGATGACTGACACTGGGGGGCAGCAGGAAAGGGTACCCCTGGGGGTAATGACAGCGCTTCCCTTTCGAATGCAAATTGCAAACCCCACACTTGCTTAGAACTGCTGCTGCCCTTCCTTTTCATCTTAAATGTGCCTGAAGGCCAGGGTGCTCCTGGAGAGAGGGGCCAGGACAGGGGCCTGCCCCCCACCAGGGGGGCAGGGAGCAGGCAGCTTGGGGTGCGACAGCTTGGGAACAGGGGACTTGGGGGGCCTTGGCTCTGTCAGAGTGCAAGTCCCCAAAGCCTGGGGCAGAGGGGGCAGAGACCCAGCCACCTGTCTGGTCTCAGCAGCACCTGGTGCTTTTAAATAAACATAAATGCCCGTCTCTGAGTCCTTGTTTATTCTGTGTTTATTGAGCACCTGTTGCATACGCGTCTGTCCCAGGAGTGAGCAGAACAGAGGTGGCTGCTGCCTGGGCCCCTGATTGTGCCCCTCCCCGTGCACAGATGCACCCTGCCCTCCGCAAGCTCTCCTGGGGGTCAGGGGGAGTCCCTGGCTGAGGGAGGTGCCCGGCTCTGTGGGGCGGTGTGCACGCTGTGAGTGTGGGAGGGTGGGACATGCAGAGCAGATGTGGGGCCCCTCCACGCCTGCCCTGACCCCCAGGACACCCTGGAGCGAGCCCTGCTGCGGGGCCGGATCCACTGAGGCAGCCCCTCCTCGCGTCCTGGCTCGGGCCCACAGCAGCCACCAGCCTGGCTCTGGGCCGGGTTCACCAGCTGGCCTGGCCAGTGCGGACCCGCTGAGGTGGGCATCAAGCCTGGGGAGTGTGGGAGCGCCCGGGCTCTCGGGGGACAGACGGGAGGGCACGCTCCCCCTCCGCCTCTCCTCCCCTCCCGTGCCCGCCCCGCAGAGCTCAAGGCCTCTGGCTGTGGGGCCGGGTCTTCAACACCCTCCACCAGGGCCCTCCCCTCCCTGACCCCGTCCCCCACCGCCCAGCAAGCCCGTCACCCTGTGAGGCTGGGCACCTGCCTGGGAGGCGAGGGTTGGGGCAGAGGCAGGGGCACCCGCGCCTGCCTCGCACCCCCCTCCCCTGCACACACAGCCCCAGCTTTTGTCTAAAGCTTCCCAGACCTGGTCCAGAGGCCTCTCCGAGGCACCGCTCCCTCCTTTCTCTCTTCCCCCCGCCCCCCTCCCCCACGGGCTGAGCCTTGGGCCCGCCAAGCTCTGTGTGTGCCTCCCTTCCCCGTCCTGCAGCACCCCCTCCTCAGGGCACCCCCGTGACCTGACAGGCACCCACCCCATCGCACACAGCAGCGGGGTGGTCGCTCTGCTCTCGGGGCGCAGGGTCCGTTTCCCTGTCCTCCCAGACCCGAGGCCCCCCCCAGCCGAGGGAAGGGTAGGGCGCTTCTGTCTGAGGCTTGGAGGGCGGAGGGGGCCCAAAGGGACCCCAGGGTGGACAGGGACCCACACGTGAGCGGACAGAGGGGAGCCCTGCCGCTGACCCCGGGGGTGGAAAGGGGCAGGTGCCCGTGGGGGACACACCACCGCGGCTGCGCCCACGTGGGCGGTCGCTGCCCCTGCGGCTGGGCCTGGGGCACGTCCCGTCTGCCGGGCAGGCGCCTCTTGTCCCCCCTACTCCCCGGGGGCCCCTGCCTGGACTCGCAGCGTTTGCAGCGTCTGCTGAGTGACTGAGCCCCGCGTCCTGTGGCCGGGACCCGCCGGACAGCCACGTCCCACACAGCAAGCTCAGGCAGGAGCCCCAGGGATCTGCTGTCATCCACAGGTGCCCTCCTAGCCCGGGCCAGCCATGTGCCCCTTGATCAGGGCCACCGCCCCCGGAGCTGCGTGAGCGCAGGTGGTCGGCAGTGAGCCCTGCTGAGACACCTCTGCGCCGGGTGGGGGGGGGGGGCACCTGGGGGTTAGTGGGAGGGCAGGCTCGCTGTGGGGCAGGCCTTCCCCCAGGGCACAGGGGACCCCCTGACGGTGATGAGTAAGTCTCGAGGCCCCCCATCACCTCCCAGCCACAGCTACAGGAAGGTGGTCCTAAGTGGCTGGGGTGGGGGCTGCTCTCCTGACCCTGGGCCCCCTTTATCCGGCCGATTCTGAGGCTGTGCGTGTCACCAGGCCTGGAGGTCATCTGGGGTCATCGAAGCTGTGGCTTAAAGACTCAGCCCCTGCAGCCTCGGGGGACACCTGAGGACCTTCGGCGGTCCGGGCTCCGCAGTGGAACTGCCCCGGGAGGGGGCCCGCTGGGGAGTTCTCCCGCTCCCCCGGCACCTGGAGGGCCACCCGGCTCTGCTGAGGACCCCTCAGTGGGCGCCCCCGTGCTGCAGACGGAGCCGAAGGCCCGGGGCAAGGTGGCCGTGACTGTGGCCCTGGCCAGAGGCCCCCGGGCCTCCCCCAGACTCCCTGCCAGGAGTCTGGGCAGCAAAGCCTCCCGGACAAACGGCAGCCCTACCAGCGGCGCGCAGCAGGCCCAGGGCAGCACGGCTTGCCGGGCGGTGCAGGAAGCCCCCACCCCCTGCGGCCGCCCCTGGCGCCCGTACCTGGGGTGTCAGCGCGGCCCACGGCCCCAGGCTCAGGCCTCCTGGGGCAAGTCAGCTCTGCCTGACCCCTGGGTCCCGCACACACGCCTCGGCAGTAGGCAAAGCTTTCAGGTTTTAATTCCCCACGGGAGCTCAGTGCCCAGAGCGCCGACTACCATCAGGCGGCTAGAAAATTGAAGGACGCGGCTGCTGCCCCCACCTGTGAAGTGTGGTGGCCCCTGGCTTCTCTCTCCGTCCATTTCCTCTCAAACGACTTCCTGGGAAGTGGACGGTGGATGCGTTTGACAATGGAATGACAGATGGCCACGGCTCACATCGGCTCTGCGCTCAGAGGGGCTGGGGGAGCACCCTCATGCGAGGGAGGAGGAGGAGTCCTGGGCTCTCTGGGCAGAGGGTGGAGCTGAGACCACGGAACGGGTGGCGTGGCCCTGGGGGGTGGGCCCACGGGAGCAGATGCCCGTGAGCGTGCTGTCCCGCTGACACAGGCCCGGGGCGCCAGGACATGGAGAGCCAGCCTGGGCACTGTGGGCCCCCGGACAGCAGGGAGGGGTGCAGAGACCTGGGCCCCCGCTGCCCGCCTGGCCTGGCTCCTGCGCCAGCCCCAGCTGGAGGTCCCTGGGCTGGTCTGTGGCCTCTCTGTGCCCTGGTACCCTCGGCTGTAAAATGGAGCTGCGCTGGCCCTGCCCCGCAGGGCCCCTGAGCGCGAGGACAGCGGCCTGCACGGTGCGGCCTCCCGTGTGCTGGGTGCCCTCTGCTGATGGGTGTGGACCGGCCCTGGCCAGTGGGCAAGACTTCCACCTTAAGGTGTGAATAGCCGAGCCCCCTCCGCCCCCGCTGCCCTGGTGACAAATACTAATGTCTAAATCAGCAGCCCGCCCGCTGGCCCGCTCCCGCTCATGTTCTTTGCTGAAATGTCACCTGTTCCTATCTAACGATTTGCATAATGCAAAGCTTCTCACTCGTAAAATACAGATTAAGAGGGGAAGCGGAGTCATTCTGGAGCCAGGGATCCATTTCAAGGCTCGGGAGGGAGGCCGGCGGCAGCTCTTAACCCTGTCCCTGCCGGCGTGCGCGCTGGGTGTCCCTGCCCAGGCCCTCGCGGGGCCCCTGAGCCGCCGCATCTCGCTGGGCACCCCGTGGCGCCCAAGCTGCCCCGGACCACCTGGGCTGACGGCCTGCTGGGGACGGGGCGTCCTCACTTCTGGGAGCCTGTGGCTTCGGAGGAGAGGGACGGAGGGGCCCGGGCGGGGGCTGCCCAGGCAGACCCTACCTGTGCTGTGGTGCTCACCCCCCAGACTCTGGCTGGAACCGAAGATGGAGGGGTCACCCGGCCCCAGGGCATGGGGAGGGGACAAACCTCCGCTGTCACCAGGGCTTTCTCTGTCGGTCCTCCCGCCCCCAGTAGCCCAACCTGCCTTGTTCTGTGGCCTCAGCAAATTTAAAGCAAATGCCCAGGAGAGGGGCCAGGGGGCTGTGCAGCGGCGACCCCACCCAGCCTCCGTGAGGGGCAACCGCCGGGGCGGCCGCTGTCCATCCCAGAGGAGTGGGTGCCCCGAGGGCCTCTGAAGGGGGCCGAGCTCAGGGGCCTCACCGCCAGGAGGGGGGCCACTGCCCCCAAGTGCAGCCACACCCCCCGAGCGCGGTTCACGTCAAGGTCAGCCTCCCCTCCACCAGTCCCAGCCTGGGCCCCCCACTTCCTCTGTCATCTGCAGACGGGGACGGAGTGTGGCGGGGGAGCCCTACATGCTGGCCGCCTGACCCACAGTGGGGTTGGGGTGCCGTGGAGCCAGAGGACAGGGGTTAGGAGAGGGGGAGGAGCCCTGGCTGAAGCTGGCTCCTGCATCCGGACCACGTATAGATGGGCACGGGGGTGCCCGGGGTGGGGGGCGGAACCTAGGCTGAGCCCCTTGCCCTGGGCTTCACGAGGGAGGAGCGATTTACTCACGGGTTATTGCCCAGGAGAGAGAACCAAAAGCCGAGTCCATCAGCCCCGGCCTGAAGCTGCAGACGGAGCCTCCCCCCTGCCCCAGGTTTCCCCACCTGCAGGCACCCTCTGATCACAGCCTTGTGTAACTGGATCGACGCCCCCCAGCTGCCTGACCCCGCCACGCACTCATTTAGCATTCCCCTCACCCATCATCCAGGGGCCTAAATGGGCTGGGAAGCCTCACCCTGGTGCTCACAGTTACTACCACCACCACCAACTACCACAATCACCACCACCACTACCACCACCACCACCAACACCCTTATTTGCTTCATTCGATGTCATTCGTGGCACTTAGAGCTTCATTTCTATCATCCCATGTAATCTTCACAACCCTGAAGTTAGTGTTTTCACCATCCTCATTCTACAGTCAGGGAAACTGAGGCAAGGAGGGGTCAGCTGGGAGTTGGATGTGGGCATTCTAGGCTGGGGCATTTCCCTATGTAGGGAAGGAGTTACTCACATAAAATTTGGGAGGTGAGCCACTGCAGGAAGCTGGGTCTCATCCTGAGCCTCCACCCAACTGCCCCTGCGCCTGCCCCTTGTCTGGGAATGGGGGGCAGGCAGAGTCAGCGTCCCCAGTACCAGTGGGACAGCGCATCTCCCCTGACCACCTCTCCTCAGCTCCTGGGGGAAATTCAAGACGCCGTCCTGCACCCAGCCAGCTCCTGCTCAGGCAGCACCTGCATCTGTCACCCAGCCCAGCCCAGCCCCTCTGTAGATGCTCCTCCTCAGCAGACACCCTCCTCTGCAGGTGCTCACCCTCTGCAGATACTCCTCTGGAGATACTCCTTCTCACAGATACTCTTCCTCTACAGATACTCCTCCTCCGCAGGTGCTCGTCCTCTGCAGATACTCCTCCTCCGCAGGTGCTCGTCCTCTGCAGATACTCCTCCTCTGCAGATACTCCTTCTCACAGATACTCTTCCTCTACAGATACTCCTCTGCAGAAACTCCTCCTCCGCAGGTGCTCGTCCTCTGCAGATACTCTCTGCTAGCTGCAGATATTCTTCCTCTGCTGATGATGCTTCTCTCCTAGAGGTACCCCCCATAGATAGTCCTCCTCTAGAGAATCTCCTTCTTTATAGGTACCCCTCCTCTGTAGATGCTGTCTTCTATACATGAGACTTCTCCCCTGTCCCACACTAGGGACGGAAGGGGTAATTTTTCTGGATCTGAAGTCTTTCCCAGCACTGTGAGGCTCCAGGCTCTGGCACCTGATGAGCACTGGCATGCACACATGTGACAGCTCACGCCTCTCTGTACCTTGGCCCTAGCGCTCCCTTCCTCATCTGGCCCCTGGGGGGCACATCTGGGACCGCGCTCTAGCCCTGTCCAGGTGTGAGGACCCAAGGCGGTCTCGTCCATCTCGACGGACACCTAACACAACAGCCGCACACCAGGGCTTCAGTGCACCCATGAGTGTCTGGCCAGAGGTTACTGCGTGATCACAGCCGATCTAGTTGCAAGGTGTTGGTTTGTGACAGGAGACTCTCTGCGCTTCCAGCCCAGCTCCAGGACCCCAGGTTCCAGGCTGGGACCCTCATCCGCGTAGAGACCACCTGCAGGAGCAGCCTCGCCAGAGTGCGGTGTCCCCAGCGGGGTTCATGCAGCCGTTTCCGAGTAACTGAGTCACGAGCTGATGGCTCAGAGACCCTCAGGGGACAGGGACTTGGAGCTGCTGCTGGTCTCTGAGCTCGGGTCACATATCCAGGGAGGAAGAGGCCTGGACTTCCCTGCTACAGAGTCTGGGTGGAGCTTTGGCACCACCGCCTTCCTGGCTTCTGAGCTCATCCTTAGGGCACCGTGACCTTGCAGATGGGGTTGGAGCAGCCTCAAGGCTCGGCTGGCCATGAGGACACAGCCCAGGGCTAGGAAGCCCCACGGACCTCAACCAATGGCAGAGCCTAGGAGGCTGATAGCGCTTCTCTGAGCGGGGAGCGGTGTGACCACCAGGCTGGGTCAGGTCTCAGCAGCTCCTCCCACACCCACCCGCTTACTCGCTCACTCACTTATTCACATGTTCTCAGCGGGCACCTTCTGCCTGTGGGACGGGGTGCCAGGGTGGCCCGTGATGACCAAGGCTGCCCGCTGAGAGCCGCTGTCCCGAGGGCTCCGAACTATACACTCAGATGCTCACTGTGAGGCCCGGGGCGTGGGGGCCCTGAGAGCAGCCAAGCATGACCCTTCGTGGGACCTGGGGACTGAGGCCGTGGTCCCCAGGAATTAGGGAGGCCTGGGGCAGGGCAGGGCCTCACACTTGGCACCCGGCAGCTGACCGACCCAGCTGACCGGGGAAGGACGGCGACCGCAGGAGGGGCTTAAGCAGGGAGCGGTCTTTATCTGCAGGCCGCCTCGGCTTCGCTGGGGAGCGGCAGGTGGCGAGCGCCCCTGGCTCCTGGGTCCAGCCCTGCGGCTCCCTGCGCCTCGCCTGCCCTCTGGCCTCCCCAGGCCGCTTCCCACAGGGCCCCCTCTTCGTTCCGTCATCACCCCTCCCCGGCCGCCCGGCCGCACCGCCGGGCTGGTCCTTCTCCAGCTTCAAAAGCCTCGCCTTGTCACTCCTGCCATCCCACCCCTCTGCCCTCCTTCCCTCCCCTCCAAGGAGCTGCCCTGTGCTCTCCCCCCACCCCCTGAGCCTCTCCAGCACCCCCTCAGGACACCTGTGCAGCCACCATGGGCGTCCACACTGTGCAACCCCAGGGGCAGGCCTCAGATCCCAGGTCACACCCCACGTGGGGTCATCTCAGGGCCAGCCCGCCTGACTGACCTCTCCCTCCTGCAAAGGCTGCACCTACCCCCCCAGTCTGCCCTGCCCCCACCTCTGCACCTCCAAGTACCCCAGAGCCAGCCTGAGGGCGTCTGGTCTTGACCCCTCCCTTACCTGTGGGCTCCACAAGGTCATTCCCCTGCCTCCCATCACCCTGCCTGAGGGGGTCACCCTCTGCTGGCTACCTCCCCCCCCAAGCCAGGCGGGGCCCACCCACCGACCCAGACCCAGCCTTGTTCACTGCTGTCGCCTCTCACCAGCCACCTGGGGCAGGACGGCCACACAGTGAGGGCCCTCAACTCCTTGTCCCCTGGGCTGTGGGAGGGACTCCACAGGGCTGGGACCCACAGTCCCTCCCTGGATCGCGCAGCAATGTCTGGGGCTGAATCCTGGGAGCCTAGCTCAAGTCAGCCCAAGTTCTGGGCCCTGGGGTGCCCAAGGGCAGGGAATCTGGGGACCTCGGCAGAGGGTCCAAGGGCTTGAGCAGCCAGGCCCCACCCTTCCCCTCCAGGCCAGGCCACCCTGGTCTGTGGAGGTCCTACCTGCCCTGGGCTAGCCGGGGAGGCCGGGGAGGGGTGGGGCTAGCCCTGAGGGCATCCTGGAGGCGGTGGCCTGGCCAGGCCCTTGCCCAAGGCAGCATTCCTCGCAGCTGCTGATAAAGGCAGCTAATGGCTTTTCGCTAATGAGAAAAGCTGGGCTGATTATGACAAATCGCTGGGAGCAGTGGGCTAAGCAGCGACAGAAGCCCCACTCACCGGGAGGGGCCGCTGCCCCACCCACCCCAGCCCCAGGCCCCCTAACCTCCAGGTGAGGTTACGGGGAGGCAAGGAGCAGGGCAGGGGCAGTTCCTGGAGGTTCTCCGCCCCAGCCCCCAGGACCTGTCCCCACGCTCCCCTATACCCAACCCCCTGGCTCTCTAGTACCTTCTGCCCATAACACGCCCAGCGCCTGGACCCCAGACCCCCAGAACACACCCCTGCCCCACCCCCTGAACCTCAGCATTTCCCCCCGACCCCCTCAGCATCCCCTCAGCCCCCTCCTCTCCAGCCCCTTGCCCAGCTCTGCCCAGCGGCCCATGGCTCCTCCCTGGTGCAGCAGAAGGCACAGCAGAGAGCGCCGGGCTCGGCCTGAGGCGGGGCTGTGGGGGCCGGGCCCGGGGGGACCGGCGGGACGTGCGCGGGCCTGGGGACGGTGGTGGCACACACTCCGTGCCTTGGTTTCCCAGAGGAGCCCTGAGGTGAGGGGCCCGTTCCTTCGCTCCCCACAGATCATGCTTGGGAGACACTCACTGTCCTGAGTCTGGGACCTGGGTCCCCTTTGTCCCTCTTGGCAGCCACCCAACTTGGGGTCAAGGTGGGACACGCAGAGGCAAAGAATTCTGGGGCACCGGCGCCCCAGCTTGGCCACCCCCTCCCCTGGGTGCAGGTCTTCACGTGAAACTTCCCAGGCACAGACTGCCGTCCCTCCTTCCGTCCGTTTACCTGTCCATCTGTACTGAGCCTCTACTGGCCACGGGCTGTGTCCCCAGAACCCGGGTGTGCTGGATGCCCTGCTCCGGGCCCACCCAGGACGCTCCCTCCCCCTCTGCCCTGTCCCTCCCCCACTGTCGCACCTGGTTGGCCCGTGGACACACCTCGCTGTGACCAGCAACAGCTCTGCCACCCGATGCTTCCCTTCCTGACGCCCCTTAGTCCAGCTTCCAGAACCTTCTGCTGTCCGAGCTGTCTCCCTATCTGGGACCCTCCGCTCCACCTGCCACTGGGTGGACCCCAGACCCTGCTTTCCTTCCTGCTACCCCTCCCCCCGCCTGTGGACACCCTCCCTCCTCCTCCGCCCGTGGACACTGGCATTTGGGGAAATGAGAGACCTCGGTGTAGACGGCCTGTTGGGCGTTATTTAAAGGGGTTGAGGGGCCGGGGCGGCCGCGTTGAAGGCCGCGTGAAGAGGTAAGAAAGGCATAATGGGATTTTCCATGCGGAACGACCATCTTATCTCGGCCGCGCGTGTCATCCATTACTGCTAATTACAGCGGCGCGGCCGCGCCTGGAGCCCGGCCGCTCCCCCGGCCGCCGGCCGGGCGGCTCTGTCCCATTGTCCTCTGCCGGCCGCCCCTCTCGACGGGTGGGAAGGGCCCGGGGTCTCCCTATCGTCCCGGAGCAGCAGCAAACGTGGTGGGCACCCCCTTGATAGATGAAGCATGGAAATTAGTTCCAGAGTTTAACTGATAACCGCAGAGCACAGCTACATTCCGTTATGGCAGCCCTAATTGATGAGCTCATTAAGTCCATTATTAGAGAAATTGATTTCAAATAGGCACTTAGAGCGGGTGCAGGAGGCAGGTGGGTGGGGGCAAGGAGGCAGGGGAAGCCACGAAAATACATAATGAGGCAAGTAATTTTATAGGTTTGTTTAATGAAAAGCCTCAACAGCGTGCTCGTGGCCATGTGGGTTTTAAACACTCATTTTATGTACTAATAAAGCTCCTGGTGGTAAGATCCTTCCAGGCCCCGGCCCACCATCCTCCGCGGCCACTCCTAATTAATTAATTAACCCTGCGAGGCGATCAATGAGTTAGTCACGCAGAATCGACACTTGCAGGCCGCCGGCCCGGACTCGTGGGGTGGGGAGGCCCGCAGGCGCCGGGCTTCCGGCGGCAGCTCGCCCTCCAGCCCTGCCCAGCGCCCGGCCCTGGGGACCGTGCGGCCCCGCGGCAGCTGGGCGCTGGGAGCGGGGGCCGCCGTGGGCACCTCCGACGGGCACTGCCGGGGGCACCCTCTGACTACTTACTCCGGCGCGGGCCCCCAGTCCATGCCCCAGTGACCCTAACCCTGACTTGGCCCTGGCCCTTCCTGGTCCTCTGCCCGGCTCCGGACAGGCTCAGACTGGGTGGTCCCTGGGATCCTGACCCCAGCGTCCGCCCCTGCTGCCCCCCAACCCCGCGTGTCCTGAAATAGATGCAGACACACAGACACACCAACACTGCCACGGTCACGTGGACACATTCATGTATGGACGGGAGTACAGAGGTGTGGACATGGAATCCGGGGAATCCCACACGCAAACAGACCGCGTGGGCGTTCAGTAGACACACGTAGACCCCCATGGACACATGGACACGAGCAGGCACGTGACTGCCCTTCCTCCTAGTCAGAGGCTCGCTCAGGCGTGGATTCGGGGCCACGCTGTTTCTCTCCTGCGGCTCTTCCGCAGCAGCTGTTCCTCCTGTCCCTTGTCTGTCCCTCCTGGGTTCAGGGTGGCCCTCGGTCTCCTCCCACCTCAGTCCCACCGTCCCCGCCTCCCAGGCCACAAGTGTGGCCACCCTTCTTCCTCCTGCACCTACGCCCCAGCACCCACGCCTCCAGCACCCACACCCCCGGCACCCACGCCCCAGCACCCACGCCCCCGGCACCCATGCCCCCGGCACCCACGCCCAGCACCCACGCCTCCGGCAGCCATGCCCCAGGACCCACACCCAGCACCCAGGCCCCCAGCACCTGCGCCTCCAGCACCCACGCCCCAGCACCCAGGCCCCCAGCACCCACACCCCAGCTCCCACGCCCCCAGTACCCTGTCATTCCTGCCAGAGTGGGGACCAGGGTAGCCACACGGCAGAGAGGACCTCGGGGACTCTGCTTTCCCCATCCTGCCAGCTGCCTCCCGGGCCACAGGGCTGAACTCCGTGGGGGCCGCGAGGGGGTGGAGGAAGGGCAGGAGGGGCCCTGGGGGACGCGAGAGTCCGGAGGTGACAGATGGCTGCACTGTCCACCCCACTTACCTTCCGTGTGGCGCAGTCCCCCCCTCCGTTGCACCAGCAGGGCACCCTGCCCCTCCCCCACAGGGGTGCCCAGCTGCGAGGGGAAGGCGTGAGCGCCCGGGGCCTCCGCGTCCACTCGGCTCCTGGGCCGTGCCGCCGCCCTTGCGGTGTCTCCCGTGCCCTCGGGGGAGCACCAGGCTTCTCCCGCCACGCGGGGCAGGGCGGCGTTGGCATCACAGCCGTGTGGGTCCCCATGCGCTCTCGGGGCCACTGGGCTGCTTGTGCAGAAGGTGACATCCTGGGCCGGCGCGCCTGCCTGGCTGGTGCCCTGGGGCCGAGAGCAGGGCAGGAGCTGACGGGGGAGCCGTGGCGCCTCAGGACCTGGAGGTGCCCCCCTGAGTTCATGCAGGCATCGCCCGTCTGCCGTCTGCGCCCCTCCTCGGGCCCCGAAGCCGCTGTCTCCTGTGCACACGGCTGTCCCGAGGCTGCCCCAGGGTGTGGCCCTAGGCGCTCCGGCTCAGGCCAGGCCCGGGCTGCCCACCGCAAGCCCCTCTGTGCGCTTTTGTGTCTTAACCCGTGCAAACACAACTGCCATGAGACAGATCCACCCGTCAAAGACGACATTGCCCACCGCGTCCATGCCAGCACCGGCCAAGGGACCGCTGACCCTCAGCTCCCGGGGCCCCAGCCTGACAAGCCAGCAGGTGCAAACCTGCGTTCTGGAGACTCGCCCTGCCCCTCCCCTCCCCGTCACCGCCCCCCACCCCAAGCTCTCTGGGCGTCTCCGCCCCCATGGCGGTGGGAGGCCCTCAGGGTCCTGGGGAAGACCACCCCCTCCAGACCAGCAGCTGCAGGGCCAGTGCCAGGGGGTCCTGCCCATCCTGCCCCCGCCCCCAGCAGACCCCCAGCAAACGAGTCTGCAGGCTGGGAGGGCCCACAGCTGCCCTTCCTCACTGCCAGCCCTCCTGACTTGGTGGCCCAACTGAAGAAAGACCCATTAAACATGCCCGCGTCAAACACGCCCCCTGAGTGCACTTTACTTTGTGAAAGAGCCGCTGCCCGTTCCCCTCACGTCCCCCTCAGCGAGTCTGTGGGTGTCCGGACAAAGGCCCTCCTCCCGGTGCTGGCCTGGCCGGCGACAGGGGTGAGAGCCAGCCGAGGGGTCAGGGCGGGTCCGGGGGGACCCGCCGCCCAGCTGGCAGGAGGGCCCACTCCATGTGCCCGAGTCCTGGGGACGCTGTGGACACCAGACAGATGACAGAAAAGCGATTTACAATTTGGCTGTTCTATTTCCAATTAAACAGCGACATTAGTTAATATGCAAGGCTGAGGAGCTCAGGCGGAGATAATGTGGAGATAGCTCCATAAAACTGCGCCAGGAACAAATAATTTTGCACAAATTTGCAAACAGCACGGTTTTTGTAAATAACCACAATCTTTCTGCTGGCCCCACTGCCGATTATGCATTTTTCCTTCATGATAATTTAATGACGATCTAATTTACCTATTGTCGCCGGGTCTCGGGTGCAGCCAACGTGATTGTCCAATTTAGTCCCAAATCTGTCCTGATGGCGTTAATTCATATTGACCAAGTGTTTACAGACTGGGCTTTTCCCCTCGCTGTGCGGACGGCGAACTCCACTCACGAGCCCGTTGGCACGGGTCCCGCGGAGCCCGCCGGCCGGCCTGCTGCGCCCTGGACGCTGCACGCGGGCCGGGGAGCCGCTGGGGGTCCAGGGAGGGGCGACACGGGACAGCAGGGCCAGGCCCGGCCCGGCTGAACGGAGCCTCACGGCGCCAGGAGGGGGAGGAGGGCCGGCCGGAGGGCGGCACCAGCAGCCAGAGCTTAGCTCTTCCGCAGATGGGCCAACAGGGCCCTGCCCCCGGGTCTTGCAGGGATTCAAAGGCGTCGTCGCTGTGAGGGACCGGATGCCAGCCTGTCACTCGCGTGCAGAGACCCCTCCCCCAACCAACCCGGCTGTGCTGTCCTCACGGGCACTGCCACTGTGTGAAGTGACTCTGCTCCTTCTTCTGTTTGCTTGTGTGCTCGCCTGTCTCCCTGCTAGCGGCCACCGCGGGGCCGGTGGCGGCCTGTTTGTCGCAGGCTGGCGGGGCCGGGCTAGAGCCGGCGTAGAATGCGCGCACGGTTCCTGCGTTGTACCTTTGTCGCCCTGACACCCCGCACGCCGGGAGGCTCTTGGGCCAGAGCCTGGTTCCTGGTCATAAGTGCTGCTTCCTCCTCTTCATTTCCTCTTTCAAGCCCCCCACGGTTTGCCAAGGGATTGGAAGGGGAGGGGCACTGAGCGGGGCGGAACCCAGAACTGCCGCGCAGCAAGGGTGGGACCCCGGGCGGACCTCGGGATGGCAGTTCCCGTGGGCGGGGCGGGCCCTGTGCTCACGCAGCCACCCAGCATCTGGTGGTCGTGGAGTCAGGGTCAGGCTCAGGGTCTGGCGGACCGACGGTCGGCTGGGTGGGGGGTGAGCTGATGCTGGCCAGCGGCCTGCGGGGTGCTGGCTGCGGGTTTGGCGTAGGTGGAAGGGTGGTCTAGGGTCGGATGGTCGGGGGTGGGCTGTGGGCGGTGGCTGGGTGAATAGGCAGACAATGGGTGAGTAGTGGCTGGATGGGTGGCCGGCTGGGGGGTGGGGGATTTGGGTGGGAAGGGGGTACACGGGTGGGTAGTTGGAGGGACGTGAGGGGGTGGGTGCATATTGGGTGGGAGAGTGGGTGGGTGAACGGGAGATCGGTGGGTAGAACGTGTGGGGGCGCTTGGCGGAGGCTGGTCCTGCCACAGCAGAGCATGTGGCCCTAGGGGGCCGGCTGCAGGGGTGGGTGGAACAGAGGCGTGGGATGGAAGTAGGGAGCCAGGCGGTGGGGTGGTCGCGGAGTCCCCGAGTCCCCGTTACTGGTAGGGGGGTCTGAGTCAGGAGCTGTGGGTGGGTCGGGGAGAGGCCTGGCAGCTGAGGGAGCGGGCCTGCCCAGGGTGAGGGAAGGCTTCCTGGAGGAGGAGGTGCTGGGCATCTATGTAGATGGGAGTTGGAGGCCTGTGGATCTGGGAGGGGGGAGCGCATATACTGTCTGCCCCACCCCCGCTGTGTGTCTGAGCGAGAGGCCGCGTGCGCAGCGGATTCGGTGGAGGAGGGACCAGTGGAGAACGGGGTGCACACCGGGGCTGGCAGACCCTGGTTCTCTGCTGGCGGCAGCAACCCGGACCCGCCGGGGCCTTTGCAGATGGTGCTCCCGCTGGCCATCCCTGCCCCGAGGCCAGCTGGCCGGCCTGCTCCTCCAGCGTGCGGGAGACGCGTGGGAGTGGGGTGGCCGTCCGAGGCGACTCAGAGAGGCGGCTGGGCCTTCCTCCTCCACGCTCAGCAGGCAGACGGCGCGGTGCCAGCGCGGACGAGCCGAGGGAGCCCGTCCAGGGTCGCCCTTACGTCGGACGCCCTCAGCCCCGGCCGGGGGAGCGCTCTCGCCTCCGCTCCCCCTGCCCAGAGGTGGGGGGAAGGGGGGGTTAAGCCCCCCCAACCTGGCAGAGCCTCCCAGCCTCTGCCCTGAGCCGCTTCCTCCTGCTAAAAAGAGCTAGATTTTTCTGCTATTTGTGCGGCTTTTAATCCATAGGAAGTGAATTTTCCACTCATATATTAGTTTATTTTATATTTTCAAATTGATTCGACTATACATTGATTTCCTGTTGTGGGTATTGTGTCCCGGGCAAGGATTACGCGTGTAGAAGTGGGGGCTTGTGGCTCATAAAGGTTGCTCTGCACTGGAGAGCTCTTATCTTGAAAAGGGAAAGTCCAATTTTATTGAAACAGCTAAAACCCCACTTAATTGAATTTTTTTTCCTCTAAGATGTACAAGCTTAGAGACTTTTGCTTTCCAATTCAGCTCAGGCTCTGTGGTGTTTAAATTTCCAAACCCATAAAGACCTTTATGAAAAGGACCCTGCAAATGTTGTATTTCTGAGCGTATTTCTGAGCCGGCGCCCCGTCATGCAGCCCCAGGTGGGAGCAGTGAAATATCAATATTCTGTTGGACATCTTTTGATCGCACGCCTTTCATGCCTATTTAACGCGGCCCTGCGGAAAAGGCTCCGGCCCCGCGCCCTGAAAGTCGCACCTCGAAGGCCTGGCCGGTCTGCCAGGGGGCCCAGCAGCTGGGCTGGGACGCTCCGGGCCCCAGGCGGAGCCGGAGAGGTCGCCTGCTGAGCGCCGCCTCCTCCCTCGGCCTCCGGGCCGCGCGGGGCACCGGCCTCACCTGGGCCTCCTCAACGGGGCGGGCGGTCCTCATCCCTCTAGGAGCGGCCCTGGCGCCCGGCCCCCTGCCCGTGCCCTGGGCGCCCGCCACCCTCCGGGAGGGGAGAGGATGGGCGGCCAGGCAGGCGGCGACCCCGCCCCTGCCGCTTGCAGACCAGGCTGCTCCCGTCCTCAGGCCGCCAGCGCTGCCTACACCCTGGGCAGGGGTGCGGTGAGCACGTCCTGGTGCCAGGAAGGGCCCGTCCGCACCTGCTGTCCTCCCCTGCCCCGGACCTGAACCCCGCGGCTGCCAGCCTCAGGTGGGTGCTACGGATGGGTCTGGGGTGTCCGCTGGGTGAGTCTGGAGGACCCTCCGTCTGGGGGGCATCTGCTGGGTGAGGCCACATCCTCAACCCTGTTCTCATCCCTGGCTGCCCCCTGGCCCCGCAGCCCAGCCTGGAGGCCACACACATGGGCTGGACGCAGTGCGCTCACATGTGTGCGCTCACATGCTCAGGCTCACGTGTGTGCTCATCTGTATGTGCTCACATGCACGGGCTCGTGCGTGTGCTCACACTCACGGGCTCACGTGTGTGTGCTCACATGCGCAGGCTGGTGTGTGTACTCACACTCATGGGCTCACATGTATGTGCTCACATGCCTGTGCTCACGTGTATGTGCTCACACGCACGGGCCCATCCCTCCTCCACCATCTGCTCAGACAGGCTCTGCGTTCCTGTCAGCTGCCTTTGTCCTGCTCAGCCCACATATGACCCTCGCAGCTCCTACTGACCCTTACCCACTTCTGCTAACCAGGGGCTTAAGCAAAGCACCTGGGGGCCAGGTGGGGCCCCTGGGGGCCTAGGGAAGCCCCCACCTGGCCTTGGAGTTTCTAGACGCTCAGCCCAGCCACGCCCCTTGGGGACGCCCCCATGCACTATTGGAGCTCCCAGACCCTCCATTCCCTTTGTGGGGTTCCGAGACCGCATGCCGCTGGGGCAGGCGGGGGCCTAGGCCTGCCTCCCGTCTGGTGCCCTGTTCCCAGCCTCAGTTTCCCCAACAGCACAGGGGCCTCCACTGTACTTCTGCTCCCCACTGGATTGGTGGTCTGAAGCCCAGCCGGGGCAGAGGGCTCTGAGGGGGCTTCCCCTCGGGGCCGGAGATTCCACAGGCTGCACCGGCCTCAAGGGAGTGGACCCCCAGCTCCGGGACCCTCAGCTTCCACGGACGCCCCACCCTGCCTCCGGGGACCCTCAGCCTCCTGTCCCCCATGGCCTCGGGGGGGCGGCCGGATTGTGCCAGGCTCCGTGACCTGGTGGCAGTTCTGCGGGGGCCTGGGGAGCATCCGTCCCCTGGGAGGCTGGCGGGGCGGGGCGGGCCTCTCCTGTGACACGGGAGGCTCACGCTTGGCCGCGCCCTGACTGTTATCTGATGCCTCTTCACGCACAGCTGCACAGACGACAGTTTAACGGCGCTCTGGAACGGGGCTACCCTGTATCTCTATCCCGTGAAATGGCTAATGGTGATAAGGAAAGGAAAAAACAAAGCGGCCCTCGGTCATCACGAGGCCCCCGCCCACCCTGCTGCTTAGCACACGCTGCCGCTGCTGCCTGCAATTATTTCCTCAGCTCACTGGAGCTTCCAGAGAGTTCTCTGAGCCGGGCCGCTCTGCCGAGAGCTCAGAGTGTTGCTGAGCAGGGACAGAAGTCGGGGTGCTGGGACCCTGCCCCAAGAGGCATGGGACTGGGTCGGGGCACCGGCCAGACCACCGGGGAGAGCCTGTGGCCCCTGACACCCGCGGGGTGGGTGTCGGCCTCGCACCCAACAGAGGCGTCAGGACAGGTAAAATTTGCAGCAAAAGTCTTCAGTGTCCCCAGATGGGCACAAGCCACAGACCCAGCCGCAGGCCCCAGGACCGGAGAGGCCCCGCAGGGGGCGAGTGCGGGGTGGCCCCGGCGGGATGCTGGGGGGAGTCTGGATTTTCCATTCTCTGAACCACATGCTCCAGCAGTGAGTTCCATCCATTCATTCATGTCCATTCATTCGTGCAGCAGACGTCTTCTTGGTGACCCTGGGTCTCTGCCCGAGGTGTCCCCGATACTGGAGGACACAGACGGGAAGGTCACACGGGCAGAGTGACCACGCCAGGGCCGGCGGAGCTCGAGGCAGGGGCAGTCGGCTCAGGGCCACCGCCGGCCAGGCAGCAGAGGCAGCGGGTGCTGGCTGGCCCGCGGGCCGCACCGGCGCCCCTCTCCCCTGGCAAACCCCACACCGCCTCTTCCGCCCTTCTCGCCCTCCCCGAAAATGACTACTGTCCAAATGTCCAGCAACCCCGCCCGGCTGCCCGACACCCTCCTCCTGCCTCCTCTGCCGTCCGGGGCCTCCCTGTCTGGCTCGTCACTCCTGAGGCCGGGGCCCTGCAGGGTGGGCCTGTCCGGCGACTCGCATCCGGGGACCACGGGGACCAGGGTTGGGGGCTCTACCTGTGCCTCAGGCCTGGGTGTGGCCCTCGGGCTTTCTGCAGCCATAGGCCTCAAGGGCAGGGTCGGTTGGCCAGTGGGAGGCCTGGTGCGGCCAGTGAGGGCGGAGACCTGGCTCTGCCCCCTGCCGGCTGCTGGCAGTGTGGCTCCGGCAGTGGGAGGCCTCAGGAAGAGCCTGGCCTCTCCCCTGCTCCCCACACCGCAAACCCTAGGCCTCACCTGATCGTGAGGTTTGGGTCGTGGGCAGCTCACGCCCAGGAGCACCCTGAGGGCAGGAGCGCCCACAGAACAACCAGGCGTGGCGACCCCCAGCGGCTGGTGGCAGGCCTGCCGGGAGGGAGGAAATGGTGGCTCGGGGACCCCCCTCCCCCCCCCGCCGCAGGGAGCCGGTTACTGCAGTGCCCGGCGTGTCCAGCAGGGGCAGGGCAGGTGGCCGCACAGAGTCCGGTGTCCGCGCCCATCCCCGCCGGCCAGGCGGCCACAGTGCATTCTAATAGCAGAGCGTGATTCCGGAGCAGCGGGAAGAGAAAGGGAGAAGCCTATGAATTATTACAAATGCACTCAATCTCCACGGCCGCGCGGCCAGCCCAGCCTGGAAAGCCGTTTCTTCTCGTGTTTAAGTTAGCGTGGAAGATGAAATAGTCACAGAGACACACTGGCCACTCGAACCTGTTACTGCTGGCTGTGAGCGCCTATAAATACTTTTCTGATTTATAACCTCGCTCTGCTTTATAAATGGAAAACCAGAAACGCCTTCAAGAGCAGCTCTCGAAGCCCATGCTTGTCTGCGTGTCCACTCGAGGACGTGAATGCCAACACCGGGGAGGCCGCCTTGGCCGTGCCCAGCCCCTGCAGCCCACGGGCACCAGGCCTCCGCCTGGCGCCTCAGTCAGGTTTGGGTTCTGTGCCTGATGGCCCAGGTGGATGGGGTTCCCGGGCGTGGGGCGTTCAGGGCTGAGAGCAGGGTGCGTTTTCCCCCGAAGGCAGTGACGTGGGCGGGGGTACAAACATCGATCGGATCAGCCCAGCCGTCCATGGGCCTGTGCCCCAGGCCGGAGGCTACCCCAAGGCCCCCGGCCACCAGCCCCCTCCCTGCCCCCATCACCTGGGTTGCTGACTGCGGCTGGCCAGGTGCTCACACACAGCAGCACCGCTTTGGTGCTCACCCGGGCCAGGTGGCCTAGAGCCTTCCCTGAAAGCTGGGCGGTGGTGCAACCCCAGGGCCGCGCGTCAGTGAGTGAGTCCATGCCGTCCGCCCGCGGCGTCCAGGAGAGTGAGAACATGGGGTCCGCCCGCAGCGTCCAGGCTCAGCCTGGACCAGACAGAGCTGAAACGTCAGCCACTGCGAATATTGCAGTAACCTGCTGTGATGGGGAAACCGAGTCTCATGGAGGCTAAGCTACTTATCCCAAGTCTCGCAGGGACTATGAAGGGGGCCAGCACCACCCAGGAGCCACCCAGAGCCTCCCAACCTCTCCCCCGTGGCCGTTTTTCAGGACGTCAAGGATTTGCAGGAAACCACATTTGGGGGTAAAGAAA